GCGCAGAGCGTCCATAGTAAAGCATTGAGAAATGCTTTCCTATTGACACTTTGAATGCGTGCCTGGCACTTGCCGCGCTTGTGCATTCGGCTCCAGTGACGTCGGACGGGGGAGCTGACGTCGGATGGGGAGGAGAGGTCACCAGCGCCAAGGGAGCCCGGCGCTGGAATAAGGTAAGCTGCTGAATGGGTTTTAACACCTTCAGCGCCACGGGAGGGTGGGGGCACCCTCAGGGCACTATAGTGTCAGGAAAACCGCTTTGTTTTTTTGACACTATAGTGATCCTTTAAAGGTGTCTTTCCTAGAAGCCAGAAGAAAAAGTTAATCATTAAGGTAACTTTACATGTATCTGTCACTTTCCCAGAATTGATTAACTTGATAGAAATGTATGTTAAATAGAAAACCTAAATTAAAAACATTGACATGAAAATCAATTGTATCAATTGTAAAAGTAAAACATATCTACTCATCTCAAATCACAGTTTGTGAATGAACCCTATAGTAATAGTCTGCTTCAAACCAAATACCATGTGGTCTTATGTTTACATAAAGTTATATTTTTTTCAGCTAGTGAAGTAATAATCAGTATTATTGCAGTATTTTTCTAGGATCACGTTTGCAATGTTACGTTTACTTTGGACTTGTGTATCAGAATGTTTCTAAGAATGGCTGATTAATATCAAGGCTGAGATCCACATGAGCACATCAAAGAGCTTCCAATGAATATAAAACGTTCTGTTGTTCTGTCCTATTTTGACACATGCTGCTCAAACTGTTTTCTGGGTTAGAGGGAACAGATTGTATTGTACTATTCAGGATGTGTTTCCACAGTAGAAGGGCCAGATGCCGTAAAATCCCTGCAGTCCTGGACCTTGCAGTTACGAGAATGATTAATACTCTGTATTTCCCTCTGCAGACTACTCTGACCTCAAATGTTCAATTCTCAATAGTGGAGACTGAGGTCAGGGTGTATGTAAACAGATAGCCTCCTGTGGTCTCCCACGCTGCCACATAATCTTGGCAGTAATATAGCATGGTTGTGATTTCTTTGCCTTGTCAGAATCACTGTATTTAAAAAAAAAAAAAAAAAATACTGATCACCCTTTGCACTTTTTTTAATCCCGCTTTATTCACCAGATGTGTTTTTGACAAGATATCAAAATCAAACAAAAAATATCACAATAGTAACTCATAATCTACTACTGGAGGGTTAAAGGAACACTCCAAACCCCCTAAAGAACGTCACATTACTAAAGTACATTAGGGGTAAACAGGGTTTCCCATTCTTGTCAATTTATAAAAGTGTACATAATATCAAAGGTTTGAAAAGTTGCACCCTCCCAGCTGTCAATCACACAGCCGTGAAGGTGCTATTCCTGTGAGGGTGCTATTTTTGTGTGATATAGTGGTTGTGGTACCAAGAGTGCCCTGCTACCCACCTATTGTAAGTAGTAAAACCATTTTAGAATAGCTTCACTTCTTACCTTGGGATCCACAGGCACTTTTCCTCTACACTACTTCTGACAGAGAGCAGGAAGCTCCTAGGCAAGGCTTAGTTCTTCTAAGCTAAGCATTACAGTGCAAGGCAAACTCATTGGTTGAGATATGGCAAGCCGGAAGCTCCAAAGCTCTTACCCCAGGTAAGAAGTCAAACTGTTCTGAACACATTCAAATAGGGGGGAGGGGCAATAGACCTGTGCTTAAATGCATTTGAGCGGGTTAAAACAAATCAATCTGTCAGAGATGAAACTGTGGAGTCTTAGTCATCGTGCACAAATCTAATAGCCACTACAGTCCACTGTAGTGGTTATGGTGCTTGGAGCTTTCCTTTAATTAATTTCGAACAGCACAGCCACTTTTATTTTCATTGCCACATTTCAGTATCCTCACTTGTCATTGATTAGCTATTTTAAAACTTTTCGTGTCAGTGCATGGCTCAGGATTTGACTACACCAATACCTAGCTGTTGACAGGTGTTTTTGGTCTTTTGGGGCTCATCAGCATGGTGCTGGCCTGATTCCCAGTGTTATTTACTGATTTGTTTGGTAACACTGATCCAACTGCTTAGTGATACAGTTAATTGGTTGATTATATAGTAAACTGATAATTTATGGAGTTTCTCAAACAGAGTGCTGTTAAAACACATTTATCAACAAACAAACAAACCAAAAACAAATTTAATAATCATTGACCGAAAACTTGATTTTGTGCCATTACATAATTGTATACATAGACCTACAGACTTTATTTCCAAAAACTTTAGTAAAGAAATAATTTCTTTATAATTTTCTATAATTTCTCTAAAATGTGTTTTAATGTTAATCAAAAAAAGTGACCTTGTGCCTAGAAATCATCGCTATGCTACATTAGTTACAGACAAGTGGCACAGCATGTAACATACTCAGCATGTCTTTTATTTCCATCTATCCGGATGTATATACAATGTGGACTGTGTGAGAGGAATTTGCAAACCATTAATGTTTGGCCATTCAAGATAAACATTCAAACTCCCGTTCTCATTGATGAGACATTCTCTTCAATGTCAAATGAGGTCAGGCAGTGCAAATGCACAGATCTCCGATGACAATTTGAAAACATAAAGAATGTGTTGTTGTGCATTGGGTGGAGAGTTAGTTTCAGTCCACAAGTGAGGACCATGTTTATTTTCCTAATCTTCCATTGAAAATAGGCTGGCAGAGATACCAGGCCTGAAGTGGCATGTATGACCACATTTCCATTCCCCTACAAGAAATTATATAAATTTATCATCTTTTATTTCAGAAATGCAGACAAAGTCAGACTGAATTCCCTTATAAAAGAAGTATGCCCTGACTAAGTCAATTTGCACTTGTGCCACAAGTTCAAGATGTAGTCATTCAGAAGAAGGTAGCAATACATTCCACGGGTTGAATAATTTTGATAAATGTCTGGCTTAATGTTTCCTATAGGTGGGGATTGAAAAAGTCATTGCCAGTATTTTGAGGTGGCTTGGAAATAGATATTGGACCATCTGCTGGTTACAAGGTAAGGACACAAGAGACTCACTGAAAGGCCAAAGGCTCACTATACGTGGGGATTGAAAGAGCTATTACCCATCTTTTGAGGTGGCTTGGGAATTGATACTGTGCCACTTACTGGTTACAGGGTAAATACTAAAACACAAGAAAGGGATAGAAGAGACTGGGTGAATTGTAATTGTGGACAACAAACAGGATTCTTGAAAATTGGAAAAAGATTAGCATACCAGAAAGCATAGTCTCATATACAGGGTCAAAAATACAAACTAACACTACGGGTGCAAAAACCTCGAAAGTGTGCGGAGGCAAGGTGAAGCAAGATCTGCCCAAGCATCGTTAATTAAACATTTGGCAGTTCCAGATGTATTTTCTTCCATCAAAATATCTGCAGCCATATGGATTGCTCTGGAACCTGTACAACTAAATGGATGTTTCATTAAAAAAAATACAAAATCTATGTGAAAAAGGATTTGCCACTCAGTCAGATTACATGCCTAGGGAATAGAAATAATAATGTTGACATCAGGTTTACCTCTTTCTTTCATATGAATGGGGAACCTATGGCTGGGTAGGAAAAAACAGAATCTCCAATACAATTTTACATGCAAGACTATATTTACCGTCTTGCATGGAGTGTTTAATTGCACAACAAAATGGCACAGAAAAGAATTTGAGAGAATTTTATTTTGTGAATGATTTAAAAATGTATCATAACAAAATATAATACACTAGATTATTAGCTATGTACAGGGAGTGCAGAATTATTAGGCAAATGAGTATTTTGACCACATCATCCTCTTTATGCATGTTGTCTTACTCCAAGCTGTATAGGCTCGAAAGCCTACTACCAATTAAGCATATTAGGTGATGTGCATCTCTGTAATGAGAAGGGGTGTGGTCTAATGACATCAACACCCTATATCAGGTGTGCATAATTATTAGGCAACTTCCTTTCCTTTGGCAAAATGGGTCAAAAGAAGGACTTGACAGGCTCAGAAAAGTCAAAAATAGTGAGATATCTTGCAGAGGGATGCAGCACTCTTAAAATTGCAAAGCTTCTGAAGCGTGATCATCGAACAATCAAGCGTTTCATTCAAAATAGTCAACAGGGTCGCAAGAAGCGTGTGGAAAAACCAAGGCGCAAAATAACTGCCCATGAACTGAGAAAAGTCAAGCGTGCAGCTGCCACGATGCCACTTGCCACCAGTTTGGCCATATTTCAGAGCTGCAACATCACTGGAGTGCCCAAAAGCACAAGGTGTGCAATACTCAGAGACATGGCCAAGGTAAGAAAGGCTGAAAGACAACCACCACTGAACAAGACACACAAGCTGAAACGTCAAGACTGGGCCAAGAAATATCTCAAGACTGATTTTTCTAAGGTTTTATGGACTGATGAAATGAGAGTGAGTCTTGATGGGCCAGATGGATGGGCCCGTGGCTGGATTGGTAAAGGGCAGAGAGCTCCAGTCCGACTCAGACGCCAGCAAGGTGGAGGTGGAGTACTGGTTTGGGCTGGTATCATCAAAGATGAGCTTGTGGGGCCTTTTCGGGTTGAGGATGGAGTCAAGCTCAACTCCCAGTCCTACTGCCAGTTCCTGGAAGACACCTTCTTCAAGCAGTGGTACAGGAAGAAGTCTGCATCCTTCAAGAAAACATGATTTTCATGCAGGACAATGCTCCATCACACGCGTCCAAGTACTCCACAGCGTGGCTGGCAAGAAAGGGTATAAAAGAAGAAAATCTAATGACATGGCCTCCTTGTTCACCTGATCTGAACCCCATTGAGAACCTGTGGTCCATCATCAAATGTGAGATTTACAAGGAGGGAAAACAGTACACCTCTCTGAACAGTGTCTGGGAGGCTGTGGTTGCTGCTGCACGCAATGTTGATGGTGAACAGATCAAAACACTGACAGAATCCATGGATGGCAGGCTTTTGAGTGTCCTTGCAAAGAAAGGTGGCTATATTGGTCACTGATTTGTTTTTGTTTTGTTTTTGAATGTCAGAAATGTATATTTGTGAATGTTGAGATGTTATATTGGTTTCACTGGTAATAATAAATAATTGAAATGGGTATATATTTGTTTTTTGTTAAGTTGCCTAATAATTATGCACAGTAATAGTCACCTGCACACACAGATATCCCCCTAACATAGCTATAACTAAAAACAAACTAAAAACTACTTCCAAAAATATTCAGCTTTGATATTAATGAGTTTTTTGGGTTCATTGAGAACATGGTTGTTGTTCAATAATAAAATTAATCCTCAAAAATACAACTTGCCTAATAATTCTGCACTCCCTGTATATCTTTTACAAACAGAGTGATGGTTATTTACATAGCAGCATCTATAATCATGAATTATCAATGAAAACAAATCTTATTTAACAAACAGAAATCCTAAAATATAGAACTCTAAGCTTGGTTTACTAAGAAGATATGCATGCTGAATTAGGCACACACTCGATATTGGTATGGATCTGTCGAGTACATTAGAATATAATTATCTCTCAAATTATTATGGCAGGCACTTGCCATATAATGTATATATTTATGCATAGCACACTCTGGGCACATTAGGAATTTGGCTTAAATCTTATTGTTTAACATGCTGGAAAATATGTACTTATGCTCAATAGATATAGTATAAAAGGGACTCTGTCTTCCACCAAACAAGGAGACAACAGTCACCTTTTAGTTTGGTAAACACATATTATATTGAACTGATAAAACGACAAATTAAAGGAACACTATAGGGTCAGAAACACAAAAGTGTATTGCTTATCCTATAGTGTTAAAAAACTGCCCCTTAAATAACTAGAAAACTTACCTTATTTCAGACGCCGCGCTGGTCTACCTGTGCAGACTCTACCCCCGATCCACCTTTTTGGCTGACATCATAAGATTGATGGCCTCACCCAAGCACAGTTCTTTCCCATAGGAAAGCATAGGATTGGCTGAGAAAATCTGATGATCTCAGCCAAGGAGGCGGGCCAGGTGCGGAGCCAAACACCGCCTTGACCAATCAGCATCCCGTCATAGAGATGCATTGAACCAATGCATCTCTATGGGGAAAGTTCAGCGTCTCCATGCAGAGTATGGAGCACATTGTGCCGCACTGCCCCTAGTGGCTGTCTGAGGAGTGTCCACAAGAGGTGTTCCTCGGCTGTGTTCTCTGAAAAAGCAGTGTTTACTGCAAAAAACCTGCAGATACCGGCTATATTCACAAGAACAACTACATTAAGCTGTAGTTGTTCTGATGACTATAGTGTCCCTTTAATGGATGGATACGGGTTATTCACTAAAGTGAAATCTTTCAGGAAGTTAAAGCAAATATTAATGAATTGGAAAACTTTTTTCAAGGCAGCTATGCTTCCAGCTTGACTATTTTTGTTCTAAAGTTTGAAATCCACTTTGAATTTACCTGAGTTCACAACAATTCTCACGTTAGTGGATAAGCCTAATCTGCAGCAAAAAAAAACCAAAAAACAGAACTCTTCTAATATATACCATTACAGAGTCCCAGTGGGCAACTCTGCTATGTTGGCTTTAATTTTGCAATTACACCACAATACTCTTAAAAATGAACGTAATTCATACTATTAAACGTCAGTTTATGTATATTGAGGAATATAACTGCAGATATGTAATATAACAGATTTAACTGATTTTGTGCTTGATCCATTCTTTATGGTTACATATTCATGGTGGTCTTAGGTAAGGCACTGGAATAGCACTTACAAAGCGAAATTCTTTGAAAGGGCAGAGATGTGCTGATTACTTTAATGACACTGCCGTCTTGCCTTGTCGCTGTAACTCACAGTTTAAAGTGTAATATTTATAAAATGAATCCTTATTCAATAGCTCTATCACCTGGACTCATTCATTCAGGGTAAAACAGTTTCAGATGTCTTCCCTGAGGACTGATAATAAAATACACTTGATTTGCATACATTAATCTAAGCAATTACTTTGGTCCTTTAAGAAACTCTACTTGTAAATTCATAAAGAAATATATTCATATAATTTATGTAAATCTTTTATGTACACAATCTCATATTAGAAGGTTAATTTAGCATCCGTTTACTGCTGGGCTCAGTAAAACAATCAGGCACTACATTTCTAAGAAAATAAACACATCTTAAAATTAATCCACTTCTGCTTCACTTTTTCCCTATACTTGGAGCTGAAATTGGAAATGACTTAATATGGTTTACAGGCACTTGGGTAAGAGAACAATTATTGTTTTATCAATGATTCCAATGGTGGAGCTAATGAACCGGTGTTCAAATCCTCTCCCCCAACACACACACACACACACACACACACACACACACACTCACACACTAAACATCATAACCAGTACATTGTGCTGTAGTAGTTATGGTGCTTGATGTCCCGGGTGCAAGAATCCACCCCCAAACACTTTTCTTTCAATGCACTTAATGGAGTATTCTAAAAATCATATCCAGTACATTGTGTTCTAGTGTTTATGGTGGTTGATGTCCCTTGGCACTGTCCAACGGTAAACTGTCATACTGTTTACAAATAACCCTGCTTGGCACCTGTGCTGCTTCCAGTCTGAGTTGATATGGTAAAATTGCAAAGTTCATTCTTTTGCATTACCATACCAAATCATATGAAATATCTAGTATTCATTATCAGAGCGCTACAAGCTGGTGCCTGCAGCCAATTAACAACTATTCCCTGCAAGTCACTTCTCCAAATCCCCAGCCAATTATGACCTCCTCGTCAATAATCACATGGCAAGAGTCAACTAGTTGACTCCCTCCCACCCCCACCCCCCAGAATTCTTCCTCATAGTCCCCTGTTAAAAATTCCCTTCCTACCCAATATTATTCCCCTCACTGCTCTGCAATTAACCCTCCCTCCTCAACTAAAACCCACTAATTACATTCAATTAACTCTCTCTCACTAATTTACAAGAACACATCCCCACAGCAAGTAAGTCAAACAACCACCAAATAACCAATGTTCCCCACTTTCATACCTGTAAACATTTTCTCCCCATTTGTTTTGTTCTACACACATAGAGACACAGTAACACAGAGCTCATTCACAGATAAGGACACAAACTCATACCGTTATTACACTCAGTTACACAGAGGCATACATTCACAGAAACACACGCAACAGAGATACACACATAACACAGACACACACAATTACACTAAATTACAAAAAGCACAATTACACTAAAGGACATACATTGTTACAGTTATACAAATACAAAAATCATATAGACACTCAGACCCACTGTTACAAATACAGTCACAGACAACACACACAAACACACATTCACACATATATAGCTGTAGATCTCAACATTGTCAGGCATGCTACTCCTGACTCCTTTGCCACTTGTCTTCAGCACTTCCCCACATTTGCCCCTGTGATCCCTTGCTCTCCCTCAGTTGTATGATTTTGAGCGCAGCGGGATATAATGACATCATATCCCTGCTGCAGCATCTAAAGGGCCACCCAAACCCTCTGGGCCCTGGTATGGCTGCATTGGCGGTACTTCTGCATCTGATTCGATTTTCTTAGTTTTTGCAATCCTGAGTTATGCTGTGGTTTCAGTATAATTATGGGGTTAAACAACATTTTAGAACATCTTGGTGGCATCATTCTAGAAAATTACAGAGGAGAAAGGCTGCGTGCACTTGTGGTCAAGTGAGTTTTTTCACGACTGAGGTGTGGACAATATTTTAACTCTTCAGCAGTAATTGGTTATTTGAGATAGAGGACAAGCTGAATGAGTCATCTAAACCTATTTGAAGGTGCTCTGTTCCAACAATATATCTCACTTGCGCAAAAACAGAAAATTTAATCAAAACCAAAGTTTATTAGCTTGCCCTGTGAGTGGTCCTCCCTCACGGATCATACACTCAAATTTTCAAACATGTAAGCTATGTTTTGTAAGTGTGTTAAAGCTCTTCTTACTAACAGACCAGAAGTCTGCACCATGTGCTCTGCAGTCTAAGGAAATAAGGAGTGTCACAAGTAGACCTTTACCAACACTTTGTGTGCATGTGTTGTACTTTGTTGATCTAGTTGGATCCAACCTATGAGCGAGAACAGTATTAGTATATTAGTATCTGAACATCAGACATCATATTCTTGTTGGTGTTAAAGTATCGTCGGTGTTTCCCTACTCATGTAAATGCTGGAAGAAGAAACCTGTATTAATATTATTATCTTGTTAATATATATTGTGTTACTAATATGCTAATATGTTATTCTAGAAGTTCCCTGATTTGATAAAAAATAGATCCAATATCCATTTCCTATTAATGGAAATACTATTGGTTGAACAATACATCCAAGGCCTTTAAACAATTTATGTACAATGTAACAGTATACAAATGAACGCATTATTTGTGGTGATTCCTATTAAATAATCAGTGACAGCTGCATTCCAGTGGATGTCAACTCGTAGCAAAGTTCATTTTGTGGTCGAGTCATGGCATCTCTGTAGCAGTAGTTTGGCTCCTGCTCTTTTGGGTCTTTGTAGTGTTGTTCTCGATTTTTCATGAAAGAGGACTGATGAAAATGGTTCACTATAATGTGTCCTTCAAGATCCTCTTCTGTAGCTGGAATATGGCAAACTAATGACCTTAAATATTAAACATGTCCATAATATGCCTCTGTATGTTGTGAATAAATGGTTTCCAAGTTTGAATCTTCTTTTTAGATATTAGTTCCCACCGGTGTTGTTGGCCCAAGCAGGGAAAGTGTTCAAGTTGAACATGGGACGGCCCCAACTATTGATGGCTATTGTAGTACATATAACACCAATAAAATTCATCACAATACCAGTTTTCACCTGCAATCAAAAACAATAATTAAGATTAAAATTGTGTTCATATGCAAAATGACCCTTCCTATCAATGCTAGTACTTTAAATCATCTCACAGATTACATTCAGATGTTTTTGTTGAATGGGAGACCTATTTTGCGACGTATCTTCTTTATAAATATTAAAGACCAATAATTATACAATAAAATTCCACTCAATATGTGTTGGTGGTTAGAGCATTTTGAAAGAATGAACGTTTGCTTCAGGCAGTATGGGATTAAATACATATAGGACAATAATTAAGACATTTATTCACTAACTTCTGAATTGTAGTTTGCCATTGTTTGCACTCAAAAACAGGAACAATGTTTCAATAATAAGTTTGATAAATGACACCTAAGGGTAAGGATGATACCCTGGTTTTAATGCAGTATGCCATTGATACATTAATTCAAATTATGTAACACAACATTGAGAAATGAGAGTTAACAAATGGGGCTACTACGCATGCTTCTCTATATGAGGCCCAATACAGGATACAGAACACGGTACAACTATATACAGTCACCTCACTGCTACCATTACATACTAAAAGGGGGAATAATAATGCTTAGAAAGCTGATGTCAACCATAAGACTATAATAGTACCTACCACAGTGTTACACACGTAAAAACTTAAAATATAATTTTTTGGCACTTTGCACTTATACAACCTATACAAAAAGATTTTTCTACTGACTGGATGCTAAATTGTGTAAGGATCGACAAAAACTGATGTATATCATGTTTTAGAAGACAGTGTAATACAATATTTAGTCAATATTACCATATCTGACACTCGAAGATGTCCGTATGAGAATACAATGGCATTTGGAGGTGTTGCCACAGGAAGCATGAATGCAAAAGACGTGCTGAGCGTACAGGGAATCATAATATATAAAGGATTTACGTGGATGGATTGTGCCTGTCAATAAAGAGAAACACACAATAAATTGACTAACTGAAAATTGTATTAATTGCAATAATAAAGTAAGTCATAAAGAGTAGAAAAGAAATGGAGGGCTTTGTGGGTTTCCACTTGTGGGATTTTCTCCATTTGTTTTCTAATCATATTCCAGTTGGGTTATGCCCTAATTACCCTACAACGCTCACAAGCAGAGGTACAGAGTCCATTGGATGTTGTGACTCCTGCTTGTCTAATTTTTTAATCCATAAAGAAATTGAGCCCAAACTGTCTCACTTACTTTCCCTTTTACTCCAGTGCAGGATCTCATTCTTCAGAGTAACACACGTTCTATGCTAAAGCTCCATTCTGTTCCTCTACATATTTGTGAATAGCTTCTTCCATAACCAACATCTACTTTTGTAGGTAAAACATTCTGTTTGCATTTTGGCAGACAGACAATGGAGATTTCTAAGCACACTTAGTACATTGAAAGAATTATTTGCAAAAGTTGGCTGCAATGTCCTGTGTAGTTCAGATGGCCTTTCTAACTATATCTACATTTGCATTATGACGCTATACACAAGTCACAAGTCATTTTTGCTTTCTGGTGTCTTTATCAAGTTGCATTATCATCAAATTCCTAACAAATGTCCATAAGTTGGGAATTAGACCTTTTTCATTAACTATTAAAAATCTAATGTATATAGTTTAGTTGTATTGATGCATTTGATTAAATGTATCAATGCAATGACCTCAATTAAATTAGAACCAATCTATTTAAGCCACTTACTAGTTCGGATAAATACAATTATCACCATTAAAGATATATCGTATAGCTGATACATTTTAATTTGAATAGAAAAAAAAAATACATAAACACACATGCTTAAACTCCTTTACTGTGTTAACCTCTACCACTTCAACTGGAAGGCTATTCCATGCATCCACTACCCTCTCAGTAAAGTAATACTTCCTGATATTATTTTTAAACCTTTGCCCCTCTAATTTAAGACTATGTCCTCTTTTTGGGGTAGTTTTTCTTCTTTTAAATATAGTCCCTCCCTTTATGCAAACTATAATTGTATTTCTTTTAAATCACTGTAATGTGGTAGTAAATCTATTGAGGACAGTTAAGTATGAAGGATGTTTGTAGAAAAATACAATGTATAAAATACAAAATCATTCTTAATAAAATAGATAAAATAACTGGCCAGTTTTTAGTTTCTGGCTCAATGACTAGCTGCATGGAAATTCCATGTTCACCTTTCTACTTAGCAGGTAATCGTTCATGGAATCAAATAAAATACTAGTATGTAAATCATTTATACATGCAATATTATCTTACCATGGATGCAAGGATAGGCAAGAAGAGAGTAGCCGTGGCAACATTGCTGGCGCATTCTGTAAAGACTGCAATCATCAGTGACAAGATGACTGCAATGGACCAAGCTGGTATGGAGTGTAATGGTGTCATTTGCTGTCCAAGCCAGTAAGACAGACCAGATGCCTATAGAAATATGACTTATTGAATTAGAATAGCAGAAGTAAAAAACATTTAAAAAAAAAAAAGTGTGTGTGTGTGACTCTCTCTCTCTCTATATATATATATATATATAGTAACAGCCTAATAGTAAATTAATGCCTTATAATACTACTAATACTATATAGCATTTTGTATAGGAGGAGACATTTAGATTCCTGTTGCATTGCAGAATAACCCGGGATAGTTAACTTACTGGGTGCATGTTTACCATTAGCATTCTATGCTCCGTTCTATGTCCCAAATTCATGCCACCACTCATATACCTTATTGTCTATTATGCTGTAGCATAAAAAAGTCCATTTCATCTTAGGTTCTATAAAAATATTTTCTGAGTGATATGCTATAGAGTGCTATGCTAATAATGAATAAAGGAAATGAATATATATTACATCTTTATATAAAAAGGAGTTGAAATAAAAAGTACAAAACAAAAAACAAAACCGACATACATCACTTCCTTTGGCCAAGGCAAAACCTCCACCAAGGAGGAGTACAATGCTCCATGGCATCTTCTTGTGAACTACCTTCCATGTCAATAATGGTGGAGAGCAAAATGTAATCATCTGTTCTACAAAAAGAATGAGATTGTTAGTAAGTGCACTCAGCAAATCTACAGCCAATGATAATGTACCGTATAGAATGGCACTGAACCCCAATAAAGGGAAGGATGTAGACCACTGATATAATCATGACAGACATGTTTTTTTTTCTAAAACACACTCAGTAGTCCTTACAATGCCAATAGAATAGATTTTCAAAAGGGGACAGGTGATGTCCACCCTCAATGGACGAGCCTCCACTAATTGCATTTTGACAATCAATAGTACCAACAGTATAAGACTCTTATACTGTTGGTACTATTGATTGTCAAACTACAATCATGCTTTTATCGCAGCTCATGGGACCTCAAGTCGGAGGGGAAATATTTCAAAATATTTCGATATGATGAATGAGCTCCTGAAGCTTTCACATTCAATGGGATTCATTGATTTTAACAGGAAATATTACATATGCAAATACATTTATATCAGAAAAGTATTTTCTGAGCTACTACCAGAAAAGATGTGAGATGTATCTTTTTTGAAACATAACATTTTTACATTAATTCTGTCATCAATTTGATCGTAATTTTATAGAACAGATATACTGGATGGATACTGATATATACTGGATGGAAGTTTTATTGAAAAGAGTAGTGACCTTTGAGAAACAATTTTAGTTAAATGCATCCAATTGATCATTTTTAGTGAATATAACTGGACCTATTAGGATAGTAGCAGCTGCAGGCTACATCATGGTATAAATTCCCATAGTCATCTCATCCAAATATATACTATTAAAAAGAATTAAGAGAAAGTACCTTGTTCTAGATCATCAAAGTCAAAGCTGTTACTGCTACTGGAGTAGCTAAATTTAGGTTTGGAAGCTGGCAATATAAAAAGGAGGACCGCTACGAACACAGCTACTGTGGCATCTGTCACATACCTGCAATGGAGAAAGGAATTAATGATTCATTTTAATTTCACTGTTAGCTTTTTGTACTACCTTCATCTGACAAGCTCACAACACAAAATAAGTAAATTCACAAGTCGATAAATAACAAGTGACCAAAACAGTGTGGTCTGCGTTTACATTTTAATTTGTAATAATGATGTTCCTTCCTGCACCCCTTTTTGGCGTTCTATTTTCTGCAAAGTGCTTTATAAGATTTACTGTTATGAGGATGATGGTGGGTTCTTTTGTGTTTGTAGCAAATTTCACTAAAATGGCAAATTTCCATACAAATTGTACATTACATTTTTCTGTATAATATTAATTGTATAATATTAATTGAAATGGAAAACTGTTGTGGTTGCATTGCACAATATAATGCTTTTCTATTCATAAAAAAGGTTTTTAAGATCTGTACAAACCATAAATTAGCATTTTAACAATGTGTTCCAGAACTACATTTTAATATACACAAGGTGCAGTTTCTTAAAGGCATTACATTCGCAGTTTCTAATCGTATCATTTGGAAAATTAGCACTCTGTTTTTGCAGAGTTATCTTCATTCAAATTAGACTCTAGTGATTCATTTATGTCTGTAATGCCATGTTGGATGATGAAACATAGAAACATAGAATGTGATGGCAGATAAGAACCATTCGGCCCATCTAGTCTGCCCAATTTTCTAAATACTTTCATTAGTCCCTGGCCTTATCATATAGTTAGGATAGCCTTATGCCTATCCCACGCATGCTTAAACTCCTTTACTGTGTTAACCTCTACCACTTCAGCTGGAGGACTATTCCATGCATCCACTACCCTCACAGTAAAGTAATACTTCCTGATATTATTTTTAAACCTTTGCCGCTGTCCTCTTGTTGTGGTAGTCTGTCTTCTTTAAATATAATCTCCTCCTTTAAACCCTCTGAGTCATAAGAAAAAGTACACTCTTTAAAAGTAGAATACAGTGGAAAACAAAATATAGAAACTCTTACTCAACATTATCCATATTGAACATCACAGTGGCCCAGCCTTTGACAAACCCAGGATCTCTTGTAAACCAAAGGATGACCAGAAGAGTGAAGAGAAACAGTACACTGGACTCTGCATATGAAATGGGTCCCAGCTTGCGGTGTTCCTCGCGAATTATGTTATATGCAGCTTGTTCCTTCTCTGATCTCGTAGCTCCACAGCCCCATGTCTTCTTTAAGCTTAATATGGGGAAAAGGTGAGGTGGTTACTCTTTGTAGAAGACATAAAAGTTGTCTATGAGGAAGAAGATCTTAACGCCCTTATCTTCCACCTACTGTCACAGGCATGAATTAGTCCAGCAGATCTGCCTGTAAAGAGGAAAAAAGAAGATACAGAAAAGAAAACTGAATCATAGAACAGAGAGCCTAAAAGTACACAGAGAAAGTTAGAACAATGTAGAAAAGAATTCTAAAAGAGCACACATTGATGTATAGCAAACGGGAAGAGAATGCCAACATGAACAAGAGTGAAACAGAAAGTAATGTAATGCCGTTAGTTGTAAGTTCTAATGAATAGAATTAACATAAACAAAACAAAACTGCAACAAAACCTAAAATCAACTTTTTCTTTATCGATTGACTAACAGGTATGGAGAAGACACTATAATATTGTTTGGCATGAACTGCATTGGCAATATTTCCTATATTTTAATGCTTTTATAGACATGGTACATTTAAACCTGTGATGTTTTAACTTTCTCTCTATCTAAGTACTGAAATCATAATTTGTCTTGTTGTGTTGCTTGTCATGTCATTTTGGTTTTAATTATTTGTTATTTTTCACATAACTTACAGAAAAGCAAGATTATCAAACAACAAAAATATTCTTCAACCTAATTAATATGACCAGTATCAAAATGTACAAGTTATAGCATAACAATGCTTATAACACATTTATTTACACCATGATGCTTGGTGTACGGTAGGTAAAGAAACAATGCTTAAATTTGATTTTCTTTAGAAACTAGAAATTGGTAGAAAATCAAATGGCCAATGAAACAAAATACTAGTGCAGATTAAACAATATAATTATTGCTTATTGTAGTAGTTATGGTAAAATGAGTTTTAGGTGCAATTGGAACATTTTTAGTCCAACTGTTTTTAATCACTTTGCCAAAATTGGGGCTCTCCCTAAACATTCGTCATGGAGATAATGCTGATATTTTACTTACCCAATATCCATTTAAACATATCCAATTTAGGAGTATAATGGTAGGCTAACCCCCCCTCTCCCGCCCTCCCGAGCTTTTAAGGGAGGGACACTTTAGCTTAGTAAAGTGGTTTTGACGTATAGATTATTCCCCTGCAGTCTTACTGCTCAATTATCTGTCATTTAGGAGTTAAATCACTTTGTTTATGCAGCCCTAGCCACACCTCCCTACATGTGACTTGCACAACCTTCCTAAACATTTCCTGTAAGGAGTCATCTAATGTTTATACTTCCTTTATTGTAAATTCTGTTTAATGTAGAATTTATTAAATCCTGCTCTGTTAATAGCTTGCTAGACCCTACAGGAGCCTCTTGTAGATAATTAAAAGTAAATCTACAGAGCAGAAGATAGAAAATTTTAATGTAAATTAACATCTGATTGAAAAGGAAAACATATTGTTTTCATGCAGGCTGTGTGAGTTACTGCCACGGAAGGTATGGCTAGGGCTGCATAAACTGAAAGAATAGTGCTTTAACTCCTAAATAGTATGAATTGATCAGTGACACTTCAGAGGCATGATCTATACACCAAAACGTCTTCATCAAACTAAAGCTGTTTTGGTGACTATAGTCACCCTTTAACTCCATCTTTCCTGCTTTTATTGTGAAAGTGAAATATCTGTTTTAATCTGAGCAGCTACAAGAGGGCTGGGTTTAGGATTCTAGAAGAACCCCAGTTTTATAAACCTGCTCAAAAGCAATTTCTCAGAAAATATGGAGAGGCACCCGAAACTCCCTTGCACTATAATTATATCAATAGCTTGTAATAGTTATGGTGCGTAAAGTGTCCCTTTAATGCTCATATCGGACAATCTATATGTTATTCGGCCAAGTCTACTTCCTTTCCAGTCTGAGGCATAATTGTTTTTAACGCTTTAACTTCAATGTTTCCATAACACCAGGAGAGAATTAAAAAAATCTTTCTTCAGTAAATATAGAAATCAGAGTTGCTTGTGTACCTGCAGTTGCCAAAGATAGCTTCCAATGGTTTCTTATTCACTCTGAAATCATGGAAATATAAACTAGCATGAAGTAACATTGTGCTTCTCAGCAAAATGACTGCACTGCAATAGCAAGATGCTTATTCATAATGCAGTATTATATTACCTTCAGCTGCCAGGGAGTAAATATAAAACTCAAAGAATTTAAGTTTGGCAGATGCAGCAACCATGAAAGTCTGAAAGAACCTTATTTCTTACATATATGAAATAATAGAATTAGTTTTGATTCTCACATAGTACTTGAGAAATATCTCAGTAAGTGCATTATATCTCAGTCTATGAATAGATTAGCTATGGACAAAAAAATATTTGAAATAGTCAATAAAATAAGCAACATTTTCTTTTCTAATTTACTTTTTCTCGAAATGCAACCTTTGATGTTTCCATGGTGGAAATGACATTTAAAGGAACACTGTCAAATCCCGCAGCTGCTATTTACGTGAATCTGAGTTTTGAGCAGCAAAAGATCACTTGTCTTTGTACGTGATGATGGACAAAGCAGAGTGATTTTCAGATGGTTAATCATTGCTCTCAACTGCTGGTCATTTAAATGGTAGCACTCGGGGTCAGAGCACTGCAGAAGCTGACAGTTTTCCTTGAAAATTAAATTAAATTGTTCTACAATATAATGGAACATATTGAGTATTTCTATATTGATATTTTATTTCTGTAAATATTTCAACAAACAAGGATTATCAAATTTAATCTGGTGAAACAAGCATTATAATAGTATATATTATGATGCTAAATATAATAGTACATATATAATATATGTAATAAGCATCAAAATAGTGTATATAAATTCATCAGACATCCACACACTCTTGAAAGCAAAATAAAAACTTACTTAAATCCCAAAAAAGAGATCTGTAACCACATCCAAGCAATGAACAGCATGACAAGCATATTAGGAAAGGCAAATCCAAACCACGAGGCGAAGTTCAAGATATCTCCATTATTTGGAAAAAGCCTATGACACAGAGATTGTACAGTTTAGAGGAAGATCATCATTATAACCAGTAAAGTATTAAGGTATTAGTATTCAATAAAAAAGTCAATAAATAGTGAACAATGTTTAGACAAGATGTACTGATTTGGAAATATACTTCTACTTCGCTGTAGACAAGGCTAGGCTATTTTCGCCTAAATTTACCAAAATACTTTTTTGTGGTGGATCACTGTTGTATCAACGCCAGTGATTCCACTTCTCTCAGTGTTATAGAAATGCAGAGTAGCTGTAGTGCTTAGTAGCAGTGTTATAGCTTTACCCTCCCATACATTAGCTAAGACTTAATGCTGGGAGCAGAACTGTTTTTATTGTCACAAGCACAGTAATTTATACATGGATCCCCAGCATGGGGTCCCTATGCAACAACAAATGATCCTGCAGTGGTGCCTCTGTGTCTGGGAGATAATTGTGTTATCTCTTGCTGAACTAATTATCTCCTGGACACAGAGGGTACCATACAAAATATCCCCAAAACACAGCAGGAACCCCAACACTTTATATAACCTCAGATAGCTCTGATCCTAATGTCCATGTTGTCAAAATAGCGCTCGGAGCCATGCAAAAGTGACAAATTGCCACCGGGGTAAAGATTTGACTGGCCACTGCCAATGTCTATGCCCAAAAAGAGTTCCATAATGAATGGGGCTTTGGCCGGTCAAATAACGGAAGCTCCCACAGACTAAAAAGGGGCGACCCCCCTGTTCCTCTTAGTCTCTTGTACCTCAATTAGCTCTCTCCTGAATGGTTTGAAAATGGAGGGAAAAATGGAGGTGGACGTTGGCCCAGTAATGGAGCCAGCCGTGCTGGAGTTACAGAGAATCGTGAGTCTTGCTATGGTCCTCGCAGCTGGACTCATTGGACGGCCCATAAAGAGAGATGCTCTCGGTTGTTTGGCATGGAGTGGTAGGTGATGAGAGCCAGAGGTTTCTTATAGAAAACATGGGAGATAAACACAGTGATCATGCCCCTTTAGTGTGGGGCTCTTACTGTCACAGTTTTTAATTTACTTAAATTCTGTATTTATCAGAGATCTATAAATAGTCAAAATATATCCAGATGTAGCAGATTACATAGTTTCACTTGTATCTTGTGATATGATGTCTCTAGCAAGGAGTTCTAAACAAGCAGAAAAGAACTCCAAAAAATTAGATTAATAGGTGGTGGAGCCAAAGACAAATTATCCCTGAGTAGCATAAATTCAAATATCCAATTCAATTCCAAATCCATTAAAATTACAAAAGTGCAGATATTTATATAACACATGACATGTGTGTATGGGTCAGTGTAAGTAAGTCTGCATGAGTGGGTGGACCGAATGGGGTGGCAATTTTTTTTCCGCCTAGGTTGGCAAAAATCCTTGCACCAGCCCTGTGTGGAATATATTGGTGCTTTAAAAAAAAATGCAACAATTGCTTATTATTACAAATTTAGGGTGCAACATGTATCAAGCATTCTGCCATTTTTGGTATCAGTTTGTTGCTCCATCCTAATTTGGCTGCGTTATAGAAAGACACCCACACTGACCCATGCAGGCACACACTGACTCATAAAGACACCCACACTGACCCATGCAGGCACACACTGACTCATAAAGACACACACACTGACCCATGCAGACACACGCTGACACATGCAGACACACATTGACCTATACACACAGAGACCTATACACACACAGAGACCCATACACACAAACAGACCCATACATACACACACACTGACCCATGCTGACCCATACCCAGACCAATACATACACACACACACTGACTCATAAAGACACACTGACCCATACACAGACACTGACCCATGCAGCCACCCAGAGACCCATACACAGACACAGACACATACCCATACATACACACACAGTTCCATACATACACACACAGACCCAAGCAGACTGAAATACACAAACATACTGACTGAAACATACTGACACACATTCCATGAAACACACTGTGCATTCTCTCTTGCCTTCATTGCACTTTGCTCTTCATTTCTGTCTTCTTCACTGCGCCCAGTGGCCGACACTTTTTTCCCAAGACCCATTTCCTGTTATTCTCCCGCCCCGTTGTCCACACGTCCTTGGCTGCCGTGGTGCTTGACTGGGAGAGGGGTCCTGACTTTGTAGGCTGTGGTAAATGCCAGACTGTTGTTCTACCGGGCGCTAGTCTACCAGTAAGTGCTCCCTAGCGCCCGGTAATGCGGCTGGCGGCCGCCGCAGTCCGCTATATATAAATCAATCCCACTTGATAGGGGGGCGGCCAGACAAGCAGTAAAGCCACTGCTGGCACCCCCCCTACGAAGGTGCCCTAGGCGGACGCCTAATTAACCTATAGGACGCCCGGCCCTGAATTTCCACAGCATTGTAAAATTATAATAAGGGAATGTTTGAAGGCCCTGCTCAAACAATATATAAGGGTTTGAAATAGGCAGATATATATTGTTAGTTATGTTGCCCAATTAAGATGTGAAACACATCAAGCATTTTGTAATTTTCGATGTTGGATGATACCATAGTAGATTTATAAAAAATTTAACAAAAATCTTTAAGGCATCTTTATTTTAGCAGTTTTTTTTTTAAATAGATCAAGACATCAGGGGTAGTTACTAAAGCGTGAGCTGCTAGGAAATTAAAGCGAATTGAAAATAATTAAAAATTTTAAGAGCAATAGTCGGATTGGAAAAATCATCACGCGACCTGTGTTTTCAGTTAGTAGTTTTGGCCTGAAAATTTAAAATTCACACTTTAGTGGATAGTTATATATATATATATATATATATATAGTTTTTTTTTGTTGTGCATAGTTACAGCATGGATATTTCAGTTTACAAGATTTGAAGCCACAAAAATTGGTATCCAGCTTAAAATATGATATGCTGCACTTTTTTTGTAAATGTAAAACAAGAGTATAAATAAGATGAGCATTAATAGTAAAAAGCATATCTTCACAGAGACTGAAGAAACAAATAGGTGCATGCATAGGTTACTGGACTTCTGCTATGCCTACGTTGCTGGGCATGTACCTGGCGATTAGATTGAAAGATATGCAAAAAGTGGTAGATGGTGAGTGAGATAAGAAAAGGAAATAGAACATGTAAAGACTCAGTAGTGAAAATTCAGGTTGACATAAACTGCTGGAGCCTCAGGAAGCTTAGAACTTTGATCATGCTTATTATAGTCACTTTAAATGAGGAGACTACATGTAAGTGCAGATTAGGAACAGAATCCGACCTCTGACCTTCGCTATCTCTGGTAGGTATGTTGATAAAGTTCCAGCATAGAAATGTGTACAGCTCAGACCGTCCCACCAGCCCCAAGGCTCTTTCGAGCCATCATCTAATGGCCCCAAATCTGATCCTCTAATATGCCGCGATCGGTATTCCCGAAGAAGCTCATCTCTCACTGGTGAGCCACTCTCCTTGGAGCAGGTCTGTGATAGGGAGTTCTACCCCACGAGACTTGAGGCCCAGGTAAGTGGATGCAGGACCTAGACACAAGCCTCAGTTGATCAGCGTTGCGATGGGACCGCGTGGGTCAGAGTAAATAACAGGAACCGCGGTGATCCACCTTGGTGATCCAGCTTTGTGATGCCCCTCCGTCGACTAGGAGGTGAACCTGATTCTGTATGGGCTGTGGCGTCAGCCATCTTGGATGTCAATTTTTGGTGAGTATACAGGCCCATTCGATGACAGCTTTGGAGCCCTCCAGCAGGGACCGGGATAACCCCCATATGGCCCATATGGGGAGGGGGAGAACAGGGCCAGGAAGATAGTATACAAGGCACTGCTGCACAGCACTCAGGCATGAAAGAGAAAAGCGGTGGCCGTCCACTACGCTCCCAGCTTAAGTAAGCCACAGAACCTGCAGTGTTTCGTAGTAGTTCCAACGCACCAGATTTAGAGGAGTACTGTGGCCCCAGTAGTCTCTTATATTGTCTTCTGTTAATTTCCTGGCTTTGGGTGAGTTTATGTAGAAGTTGTATTTGAGCAAACTCCATAAACTGCAAGAGCTGTGCTGACATGCAGCCAGCTAGCATGGCGGACCGCCCCCGCCCCCGGATAATATTTTTTATGCTCCAAATCTAACTCATCTTATTCTTCATAAATTACCAGATTTTCTTTATTGCAGCTTTAGTTTCTTACACACAGTGTTTTTCAGTTTTTATGCTCACGTCATATTTGTCATGTGTTATTTTAGTAATTCTGTATTTTTAAACATATACTGGGTATGTCATGAAAACATTTCTAGTTAAAACACATATGTAGCCAAAACACATGTTTTAGCAAGAAGACATTTCTAGCGAAAACACACAGACCTCTCCCACAGTACTATGTGTACTCACTGGCTGAATTGTCCCTTTAGAACAAGATTGGGCCCTGTTCCAGTGAGGGTTGCCGTCCCTCCAATACTTGCTGCGTAGCAAACACTCAGCATCATTCCTTTATTGATATGCTTTGTCTCCTCTTTCTCCGTAACAGTTCTCGGCACTTCTTGCACATATCCATTGGTGATAACTGTAGAAGAAAAGCAGACATTAAAGCAGCATGCTACTTTGCAGGTTTAGCTTTTAAAGTAATCTTTTTTCTTTGTAGTTCTATTTGATTTTATTTATTTTTAATTCACCTTAGTTTTTATTTATACATAAGAAAAAATTATCAAATCTTTATCAAAGTTCCATTTAAGTTGCTAACCTGATTTATCTACAATCCATCAGTCCATAAAATCCCCAGGGCAAACAGCAGACATCATTGACAGAGGGGAACAAAATAGAGGTCCCCAGGGTATTAAGATCCGACGCAAGGAAGAAAAAAAATATTAAAAATAACTAAAGGCAAGTGGGGAGTGTAATTATTAAAATACATGAGACGCAAAGAAAGGAAAACAAAAAGAAAAAAATCAGAAAAAAGACGCTTTAGTTTAGTGTAAAAATATTTTTTCAAAATCCATGCATGCACAGTATCTGGCCAATTGCTAGGAATTATCTAATACATAAACAATTATTGAGAATGAAATAAATCAAGCATTGTGGTGAATCAGCAAGGGATTTAAACTTTTAAAGCCATAGCCCAGTATTATAGGGGCACTATGGCCATCAAAACAACTTTAGCTTAATGAAGACGTTTTGGTGTATAAATAAGGCCTCTGCAGTCTCACTGCTTGATTCTGTCATTTGGGAGTTAAATCACTTTGTTTATGCAGCCCCAGGCACACCTCCACACGCTCCCTGCATGCGACTTGCACAGCATTCCTAAATACTTCATGTAAAGAGTCATCTAATGTGAACACCTCCTTTATTGCAAATTCTGTTTAATTTAGAATTTCTTATTTTCTGCCCTGTTAATAGTTTGCTAAACCCTGCAGGATCCTCCTGTATGTTATCAAAGTTCAATATGGAAGGAATACGAAGTTAAGTTAATCTGTAAAAAAAAAATCTCTAGATATGCTCTAAAATGTATGTATAAGTTTAATTTGTGTATAAACTATGGGTAGGTTTAAATTTACATATAACTGGTCAAGAATCATTGGCCTAAATATGGCATTTTGCACAATAAAAATGTTGTGTAAAGTTAACACACTGGAGTACTCATAGGACTTCTATTCCTACAAAGAAGTAACATTTATTTAAATCATATTAAATATATATGTACTATGCTCAAAAAAATTAAAGGGGACACTTAAACAACACAATGTAACTCCAAGTCAATCACACTTCTGTGAAATCAAACTGTCCACTTAGGAAGCAACACTGAGTGACAATCAATTTAACATGCTGTTGTGCAAATGGGATAGACAACAGGTGAAAATTATAGGCAATTAGCAAGACACCCCCAATAAAGGAGTGGTTCTGCAGGTGGTGACCACAGACTACTACTCAGTTCCTATGCTTCCTGGCTGATGTTTTGGTCACTTTTGAATGCTGGCGATGCTTTCACTCTAGTGGTAGCATGAGACGGAGTCTACAACCCACACAAGTGGCTTAGGTAATGCAGCTCATCCAGGATGGCACATCAATGTGAGCTGTGGCAAGAAGGTTTGCTGTGTCTGTCAGCGTAGTGTCCAGAGCATGGAGGCGCTACCTGGAGACAGGCCAGTACATCAAGAGACATGGAGAAGGCCGTAGGAGGGCAACAACCCAGCAGCAGGACCGCTACCTCAGCCTTTGTGCAAGGAGGAACAGGAGGAGCACTGCCAGAGCCCTGCAAAATGACCTCCAGCAGGCCACAAATGTGCATGTGTCTGCTCAAACGGTCAGAAACAGACTCCGTGAGGGTGGTATGAGGGCCCGACATCCACAGGTGGGGGTTGTGCTTACAGCCCAACACCGTGCAGGACGTTTGGCATTTGCCAGAGAACACCAAGATTGGAAAATTCGCCACTGGCACCCTGTGTTCTTCACAGATGAAAGCAGGTTCACACTGAGCACATGTGACAGACGTGACAGAGTCTGGAGACGCCGTGGAGAACGTTCTGCTGCCTGAAACATCCTCCAGCATTACCGGTTTGGCAGTGGGTCAGTGTGGGGTGACATTTCTTTGGGGGGCCACACAGCCCTCCATGTGCTCACCAGAGGTAGCCTGACTGCCATTAGGTACCGAGATGAAATCCTCAGACCCCTTGTGAGACCATATGCTGGTGCAATTGGCCCTGGGTTCCTCCTAATACAAGACAATGCTAGACCTCATGTGGCTGGAGTGTGTCAGCAATTCCGGCAAGATGAAGGCATTGATGCTATGGACTGGCCCGCCCGTTCCCCAGACCTGAATCCAATTGAGCACATCTGTGACATCATGACTCGCTCCATCCACCAACGTCACGTTGCACCACAGACTGTCCAGGAGTTGGCAGATGCTTGAGTCCAGGTCTAGGAGGAGATCCCTCAGGAGACCATCCGCCACCTCATCAGGAGCATGCACAGGCGTTGTAGGGAAGTCATACAGGCACATGGAGGCCACACTACTGAGCCTCATTTTGACTTGTTTTAAGGACATTACATCAAAGTTGGATAAGCCTGTAGTGTGTTTTTTCACTTTAATTTTGGGTGTGACTCCAAATCCAATTTTATTTTCATTTTTTAATTTTTGTGTGATTTTGTTGTCAGCATATTCAACTATGTAAAGAACAAAGTATTTCAGAAGAATATTTAATTCATTCAGATCTAGGATGTGTTATTTTTGTGTTCCCTTTCTTTTTTTGAGCAGTGTATATACATCTATTGTATTACAAATAGTTGCATTTCTTTACATTATTCAGTTGATTGACTGGTTATCTGTGCTTATACTTCTGATTGATATTCAACTGAGTTGAATTCTGCTCTGTAAACACCAGATATTTTAAACCAGACAGGTTTGGAAGCGGTTCAAAAGTGCAAAGGTTGATTATTGAAAGTGGAACTTAAGTTAGCTTTTAGGAAGAATTGAAAAGTTAAAGTAAATGTTTTATTACAACCGTTAAATAAGTAATTTTGTACCGCAAACACCCAAAGAGAAATGTAAAGGTGAAGTTTCATTTTATGTGCTTCCTATAACAGCATTAACTGATTCTAACAAGAATACAAAACTAAAGAAAATATTTGCCGTTTTTTATTTTTGATGAGCCATGGAAAAATTATGCATCGTGTTGAATTAGGTGGTGAATGTGAATGCTCTCACGAATTCACATTTTTGTCAGTTAATGTGTTACATTTAAAGTTGGCTTGTAACCTAAAAATAGTGCAATAAATCAATAAAGAACACAATTATATATACTTAAACTGATTTTTTTTTTAAATGTGCATTTAGATTTTTGTTCACTTTTATATTATATGTTATAATTAAAAAATACTGTCTTTAAACTCATTATTCTACTCCAATGGCTCTTTATCTCGGGGTTGGGACCAAATTCCGAGTCTCTATGACAATTCATTGAAAACACATTGGTTATAACATGTATATTGTATTTGTCAGGACCCAGGGGACTGGCAACTACAACTAGCCTAGTGCAGCAGCATTGCCTTCCTCAGTGTGAAGGGAATCTCTCCAAAACTTAAAATTGCAAAACATCTTTTTTAGTATACATTATATTACAATTTAAGAATGAGTTTCTAAGCTAATGCTATAAAGATTAGATTACTCTATAGATGTACATTTACTTATTAACAAATCTCCTCTAGATACACAATTTTAAAGTTTTAGATGGATACATTTTGACATTTGTACATTTATTTCATTGGTTTTATTTGTGTTTTTTTTTAGCAACTAATCATATGCAAAACTAAAGAAAATATTTGCCATTTTCTATTTTTAATGAGTCATGAAACAATTTTGCATCGTATTAAATTAGATGGGGAATGTGAATGCTGTCTCACGAAATCACAATTTTGTCAGTTAATCTGTAACATTTAAAAATGACCTGTAACCTAAAAACATTACATTAAATCAATAAAGAAAAAAAAATATATTTATATATATATATATATTTAAATGGATCCTATAGTGCCAGGAAAACAAAGCTATTTTCCTGGCACTATAAGCTTAATAGGGCCCTTCTCCCTCGCGCCCCCCCTCCCGCGAGTCTGAAGGGGTTAAAAGGCTTTCCTATGGGGAAAATCTGACACTGGAGGTCCTCATGCAGAGCGTGAGGACATCCAGCATCAGATAACGGACCAAAGATCCGTTTGAATTCTGGAAGTGCCCCCAGTGGCTGAGGGCAGACTTAGAGCTGCAATGTAAATATTGCAGTTCTCTGGAACTCCAGTGTTTAACATTGCAGCACTAAGTGCAATAGGGACACAACACCCAGACAACTTCAATTAGCTGAAGTGGTCTGGGTGCCTACAGTGTCCCTTTAAAGGTTTTATATTACAGAATACAAACAGAGAAATATAATAGGGTGTCCTGATTCCTGATAAGTAGTAGGTAAGGCTGTCCAATGATTTGTGTCATATGAGTGTACAGATTAAATGTATTGTATTCATTACCTTTATTTATTGATCTCTCCTATGTATGTACAAATGAATTAAATAAATACATACCCTGTACTGAAGTCATTGCCATAGAATTTTTTTCCTCAAGTTCCAACCCTGGATTTGTTTGACCTTCTGTATTCTCCAAAATTGACGGGTCCTGCTCTGTATTATTGAGTTGGCTCAAAACAGCCTGGACAATAGGGACCATCATGGCTGTAGTTGCTGTGTTACTTATCCACATTGACAGGAATGCAGTTACCCCCATGAAACCCAACATGAGCCTACAGATAACATGGAAGTACAAAAGCAAGAAAATCAAAAGGAAATATCAGATAATGCACTCACTACTCGTGGGTATTTCAATGGATATAAACACATAAGGAGAATAAGTTCCACTTTTTTTCAAAGCATGGTGACAAAATATATTTAAAGCATTTTGTAGGTTTTATCAGAAAAGGAAGGTTTAAAGTATGCATAATTTTTTTTTGAGATTTAAAACAATAATAGGTGATACAGTCTTCGGAATAGGATTCTTGCTTTGCAGAGTTTTGCCATCTTTTTGTACATCACTCATCCTTGTTTGTTTTACCTTTTCATCAATTAATTATCTCCCAGTGAATTACACAACCACATGTATGGTTCTCTCCTCCGTATGTTCTGATTGTTAGGTCACATTGACTACAGGGTTATTTATTTACTAAAGTGAGAAAAGTGAGTGAATTCAAAGTAGATTTTAAATTTAAGGACAAAGTAGCTGAATTGTAAAAATTCTCTAAGCCAGCTATGCTTCCAGTCCAGCTATGTAAATTTTGAAATTCACATAGACTTTTCTTTAAATTCTCAAAAATTCTCACTTTTGTGAATAATCCTGTTTGTTAAGCTAATAACAGTGCTATATGTGAATCATATTTCACAAGTTTCAACTAATTTAATTCACTATCTGAGCAAAGGCAACATTATATTACATTTCAGCTACACATTTTTTCAGTCTGTTGCAACTCATGGCAAATTGTTGTTTAGTGAATTGAACTCTAACCCACCCCAACTCTCTCATCCTTGTACTCCAGTCCAGATTGAATGTAATTGATATTTGTAATGTGGAGTCGTAAATCTAGCATTTTTAGTGCAGCTTAAGGGGGGACGGGCTCTGGATGCCAGGAAAAGTCCTGTTTTTGTCAAACCATCCTCAAATAGTATAACAAAAAAATTGTGAGACAGTGCTCATAAACTATTTGCACTATAGCCACTATGCTGAGCGGTAGTGGTTATGGTGCTTAGACTGCCCTTTTGAATAAAAGTTCTATACCGAAACACTCTTTTTGTAATGTGTACCAAAGAGTAATGCCATTAATAATACACTCTACAATAGTGGGAGGAGGTTACCAAAAACTTGTGTTCAAATCTTGTGTTCAAAATTTTGGATGGTTATAAAACCCACTCAAATCACATTTTTTATGATTGTAACTCAGCATCAATGCTTACCAAATTCCCCCTTAATTGCTACATAACAAGTGTCAAAATGCCCTTAGGTAAATAACCTGTGATGTATATGTTATATAAATATATATTATTGTTTGGCAATCTTGTTGTCTGTTATGACTATTAAGCTTACAAGACAAACATGCCTGTGTCTTAATAGTCCTAGACATTTATACCTGTATCAGAAGCCTCTGATTGGTCATTTCCCGACACAGACTGAAAGTTTATGCCTGGGAAAGAAGTGGAGGGCTTACAAAGGTTGCGGTCAGAAGAAGTGCAAGCTGTTTTAAGATATACCCCCACAAAAACATGCAGCAAAAAAAAAAAAAAATCATCCAGAATTTCATTAGGGGCATATCTACTAAATAAGGATTAAAATTAATAATTTGACCACTATAACTACAAGAACAGAGGCCCTTGGAGGCTCAATGAACAACTTCTCACTGATCACCAATTCATCCAAACACTACAACAAGACATGCATACATACTTTCAAACCAACGACACCCCAGACATTACCCCGCTCACCCTTTGGATGGCCCATAAACCGGTCATCAGGGGCATACTTATAAGACGGGCAGCCCACCTCAAAAAACAGCAACAACACTCACATATACAGAATCTCAAAAGATTACAAGACCTACATAGAACAAACCAAATAACCCCCTCCAAGGCCACACAGGATGAGATCACTGACCTGCAAAAACAAATCCACACTTCCAATTTCCAAAAAGCAAGCTATGCACTGAAAAAGCTCAAAGCGTCCACCTTTGTCATGGGCAACAGAGCCAGCAAAACTCTGGCACAAAGACTCAGGGATAAGCAAGCCCAAACCAGAATCCCATACCTACTCTCCCCCCAGGGACAGAAACTGCCCCAACCCACGCAAATCTGCAATGAATTTGCAACCTACTACAGCTCCCTATATAATTTAAAAGACAACCCACAAGTACCCCAGCCAACCCGCAGCACCATCTCGGAGTACCTTGGCAGAATTGACATGCCCAGACTCCAAGCACACCAAGCAGTCAACCTCGCGGCCCCCATTACCACCCTAGAAGTAACACAGATCATTGATACCATGCCAAAAGGCAAAGCCCCAGGCCCTGATGGCCTCACCAATCTGTATTACACCACCTTTAAGGACGTACTAACCCCCTACATCACACGTGCCCTCAACTTAGCCACGCAACAGGGAACCCTACCGCCCGAATTCTTAGCGGCACATATTATAACCCTACCCAAACCGGGAAAACCACCGACAGTCTGCCCAAATTTTAGACCTATCTCCCTACTAAACACCGACGCCAAGCTATACGCTAAAATATACGCGGCTAGGCTCAAAGCACTCCTGCCCAGCTTGATCTCGACAGACCAAGTGGGATTCGTGGCAGGCAGACAAGGCCCAGACAACTCCCGGAAAGTACTAGATATACTTCACTACCTTAACCGCTCCAAACTACAGAGCACGCTCCTCTCCCTAGACGCTGAGAAGACATTTGACCGACTCAATTGGCATTTCCTACATGAGGTGTTGTCAAGATACGGGTTCCCACCGGACTTCCAAAACATGATAAGAGCCCTGTACAGCACCCCAATGGCAACGGTTCTAAATTCAGGGTTCAGTTCTGCCCCCTTCACAATAACCAACGGCACCAGGCAAGGATTCCCCTTATCCCCCTTGCTATACGTGCTAGCGCTGGAACCACTAGCGATAGCCATCAGAAACAACCAAAACATTAAAGGGATAACCATAGGCGACAGGGAGTACACACTTAACCTATTTGCGGACGATATACTCCTCACAATATCCAATCCGACAATTTCACTCCCCAACCTCCACAAATAAATAATGGAATACAGTACACACTCATATTACCAGCTGAACCTAACCAAGACGTAGGCCATGTGCATAAACATGTCCAAATCGGAGGAGGAACGTTACAAACACAACTTCAATTATGACTGGAGGAACGACTACTTAACATTCTTAGGCGTTAGGCTAACGAAACATCACTCGAGCTTATTCGCCACCAACTATATCAAGCTCCTCAAAGAAGTGGAGCAAACGCTACACTCATGGAAAAACAAATTCCTCTCATGGCTAGGCCGCATAGTGGCCATCAAAATGACGATTCTACCAAAAATCCTCTATATGTTCCGCTCCCTACAAATCCCCATACAGCAGACGTACATACAAAGACTACAATCCCTCCTGATCAGATTTAGCTGGGGAGGGAAACACCCTAGAGTTCCTCGAGCTTTACTAATGAGACACCCGGAAAAGGGTGGTTTGGGATTCCCTGACCTTAAGGCATACTACCATGCAACACATATCGCCAACATGCTCCAAATGCACTCCACCACATACACCCCCAGTGGATCTCCATTGAAGACAGCTGTGGAGGACAAACAGACCTTGCAGCAGCTATGTGGATGCCTAGGAAACTGCGCAACATTCCCCGAGACACCCTACCCACCACAAAACTACTATACAACATATGGGACAACCACAGGACCGCATTTTGCTCAGCCAGACCGTGGTCGATGGCAACGCCACTAAAAACGATCGCACTCCATAACAACACATTCCCTTACAGAGCATGGCAAGCCCACAACATCACACATCTACACCAAATCTGCACCGAAAAAGGCCCACTCCCGCTCTTAACACTGCAAACCAAATACAATATCCCAACCAAACTAACATTCTCACATTGGCAACTGAAAACACTCTTAGACAGCACTACAGGCAACGAACCACCACCCCGATTTGACCCCATCCTCACACCATTCGAAAAAATGTGCCTACACCTCACCCCCACCCAAAAAACATTATCAGTGTGTTATAGACACATAAACGCACACAAGCCAGATCCGGAGTGGCAATTTAAAAAGGACTGGCACAGAGATATCAATAGAACCCTCACACCAGACGAATGGAACCACATATACGCTAACCATAAAGGACTCACGTCGTGCGCCTCGCACCTAGAAGCCTCACATAAGCTACTATATAGGTGGTGCATGGTACCTACAAGACTTAAGAAAATCTACCCTAACATGAGTGACAAATGCTGGAGATGCCAGACCCAAACAGGAACCATGTTACACATTTGGTGGACATGTACCCAGGTCCAACCGTACTGGACACAAATAGCAGAGATAATAAGAGGGGCCACAGGATGCATCCTCGAACACAACGCTGAAACATTCTTGCTCAAACTTCTGCCCACCAATATACCCCACAGCATAACTAAACTGATGTTCCTCACACTCACCTCAGCGTCCACCTTACTGGCAAAACACTGGAAAAAACCCCAGATCCCCTCCACGGCAGAGGTGACAGTAATGGTCACTACCACCCTGGACTAAGAGGTGATTCTATGGGATCAAACAAAAATAGGCAAAGGGAGTGCTACAGCGAAAACAATCTGGACCACTTACATAGAAAAGAAGAACCTCCAAGCTGCAGCTAGGGACACTGCCAACACTGATACAACTACATAACAATAGAACCTCGATGGTTCATAGCAGCCACACTAGACACATTAGTTATCCCAGTTATTCCCCCCTTGTTTTAACCTACCTCTCCCCTCCTCCTCACATAACTGGACCCGCTCAGGAGTACACACCTGAGGAACAGCCCCAGATAGCCTGAGAAGGCGAACGATAATAAGGAAACACACACCATAGACAATCCGACAGGCCAACCAACGGCAACCAAAACAGCCCGCAAGGGAAAGGTGCTCCAACAACTCATGGCCTTCCTACAACAGAGGTCTTTTCCCCCCCAAGCGGGCATACCACATATATCTCTCGAGAGGGGTTGAGCACATCCTGCACGCCACCATATGAAGACCCACATAAAGGGGCAACAATTAACACTCCTCCTTTCACAGAAGACGTGCAGGGCCATGTACATAACCCGTTCTACCTACTGTAAAACCCATATGTAAACGAATGGAAGCACAATCAGTACTACACATTGTAAACAAACAGAAATGTTGATTATTGTACAAACGCTGTTAAATGGGATGATCAACTGTAATGACAAACCTAACGGAATTTAAACACACCCCCTGGACCCCCCTTCCTTTCCTTACCCCTCAGAAACCTTTGTCTTCCGACAAAATAAAAATTGTCAAATTGAAAAATATTTTTTAATAATTTGGGAGTGGTGTGTTCCTTTATATCCAACATGTAGGAAGAAGCACTGGAAATCCAACATGGAGGAAGAAGCTCCCTGAAAAGTGAGCTGGCAAAATACAAAATCTCTTAAAGGAACCATATGCTGAACTGGCAAATTTAAAAATAAATAAATAAAATAAAATTACTATTTGGCAGATATATCCCAAAGGAAAACATGCATGTGTTTAATTATGCTTTTTTTCATTGGGGGTATATCTAAAAAACTCAATCTCAATGTGAGAAGCCTTTACAAGACAGGTGCTCTAGGCAATTGCTGCCTCTGGAGTTTAGCTCAATTGAGTAACAGGACCAGTTGTCTGACTGACAGCCAGGGGGTGTAACAATGTTAATTTATAAACATGTCAATTTCTATATAAACCAGCACTTCCTATGCAAAGAATAAAGAAGGACACACTCTTCACAGCAAACACTTAGAGTGCTGTAAGCGTTTGGAGTGTTCCATCATGTACATTTTATTCTATCTACAATAGCTGGTTCTGAGATTTAATTGACTTTGGCATACTGACCTTGTAGACAGGCTCCTATGTTTTCAAACAATATGTTTAATGCTGAAACCAAGTTCTAAGGAAATTGGGCTGCATGCCACCCCATATCCTATCAAAATATTTGGATGCGTATGCACCATATCCTCCTGTCTGGTTTTAGTTGCCAATTATGTGTAATCCACCTTTGTGCTCTGATATGTAGATAAAGGATATGAATATGAAACTCCTTATTAATTGAATGATTTTATTTAGTCATCACAAGACAATGACTCTGCCGTGTTTTATGGCAAACAAATAAATTAAATCCTATCAGTACAATTTTGCGATCCTCCCTTTCCTTCTCTCCCTGAACCCACAATATGATCTTCCAGTAACTTTTATCATTTTATTTAAAAAAAAATCTGGACACTTTCCTGAGATGCATTACAAAACAGATTGGAAAATCAAACAAATTGAAAGATAAATATTCCAAAATATTATTACTTTTCTTATTTCATTACATACTCAATAATCACTGAATCACCTAAAACTAACTACCACCAAGCAACATGACATACAAACTAACAGAGCTGCCAGCAACGCACAGTAATTTATCCAAGCTACATTACATTGACAACTTTATATTCCTGTATTTCAGAGAATCGCACCTGCAAACAGCAAAGGAACGCAAAACTATTCATTATAGGAACACATAATTTTTTGCATATAGTTTCCTTTAAAAGCAGTTCAAACCCTGTTATTGTAAAGAAGATACATTTTCATTACAAATTATTAATCTACAACTTTCTTACTCTAGTTTAAAATAATACTCTACACATCATAACCACTACAGCAGGATTGCAGGGCGATGATTCCAGGAGTGCCTCCCATATTTTAAGAGTTAAACCAATTTAATACAGTCTGACTTCTTATCTGCAAACAACAAGGCAGTGCTGCTCCCCACTTTCTCTGCAGCTCTCGGACAGCCTGCTGCTCAGTTTGTGTTTGGTGCTAAAGCTAAGCCCTGAATGGCTAGCTTATTGGCCGAGAGTCAGCTACGCCTTGCACCACTGGGCCCACAAGCTGCATGGGGCGCATTGGGTTGCCCTCACATTTCGTACCACCAACAGGTATTTCTGGTCTGGTCCAGTGCTGCTTCCCTTTAACTGCACAACCAGGCCTCTGTCAGATTGGCAGAGTTGGATGCAAGTGAATTCAGGTCAGTTTCTCAACGTTTACAACAAGAGCCGTGCACCCTAATTAGTGTTATGGGCAAATGCAAATATTACAAGTTTTAGAATGAAATGTATTTCTTAAACTGTGTACTTTGTCTTTAAGAGATATTGCAAATTGACATGGTGTTAGAAATGGAACATATTGTTTTTCATAGATGTTTCTTTAAGCAATAACCTCAGTGCATAATATGTTTGCGCCATTTTGTCCCAGACGAATTACAATAACAATAATGCATAAACAAGCTTCAAGGCTATACTACGACTCTTGCAGTACACAATATACTGTTATAACCCCAAGTTAATGGAACTTCCCCAAATCCGGGAATCTCCCACGACTGTGCACTTACGTCTCAGTATAAACAACAGATAAGCTATTCAGACTTTAAGATGCCATCTTGAACTAAGTCAGGAAAATTTCCATGACGTATGCACCCTTTAGTTATGGCCTTGTATGTTTGCCAAGTTAAGGGAGGTCCTAAAATGAATAAAGTAAAAGAAGTGTTACTTTTTCATATTTGGACTACGGTAACCCTAAAATGACGACACCTAAGGTATAAATAAGTGTACTTTTAAATGTTTTAATTTTATATTGTATTCTCAATTATTTATATATGTTAAATAGAAGATCTCTTACACTATATAAAATTATGGCTAAGATATCTGTATGGTTAGCCCTACTAAGTTCTATGCTTTAAGACATTATAGTGGTAAATAAGGGAACCACCTGCGGTTACAGCAGAAAGGAGGGGAAGAGGAGGGAGAGCCTGCACGATCCCCAGTACACTTCGGCATCCCCCTCGACCACAGCAACACTGAGATCAAACAGCAACACTACATTTAAATACACCTCTACATTCAAACACCAACACAACATACAAATACACTGCTATATTCAAACACCAACACTACATACAAATACACTGCTATATTCAAACACCAACACTACATACAAATACACTGCTAAATTCAAACACCAACACTACATACAAATACACTGCTAAATTCAAACACCAACACTACATACAAATACACTGCTATATTCAAACACCAACACTACATACAAATACACTGCTAAATTCAAACACCAACACTACATACAAATTCACTGCTATATTCAAACACCAACACTACATACAAATACACTGCTAAATTCAAACACCAACACTACATACAAATACACTCCTACAAACAAACACCAGTACTACATACAAATACACTGCTATATTCAAACAACAACACTACATACAAATACACTGCTAAATTCAAACACCAACACTACATACAAATACACTCCTACAATCAAACACCAATACTACATACAAATACACTGCTAAATTCAAACACCAACACTACATACAAATACACTCCTACAAACAAACACCAGTACTACATACAAATACACTGCTATATTCAAACACCAACACTACATACAAATACACTGCTAAATTCAAACACCAACACTACATACAAATACACTCCTACAATCAAACACCAATACTACATACAAATACACTGCTAAATTTAAACACCAACACTACATACAAATACACTCCTACAATCAAACACCAATACTACATACATGCAAACACCAACACTACATACAAATACACTCCTACATTCAAACTCTAAAACTGCACACAAACACAAACTGAATTCAGATGCCAACACTTCACACAAATACACATCTACTCCATGCAAAAACATGCTTACGTTCAAACACACAGACACTGCTCACA